AACGACGGAAGGAACTTAAGAATGAATGAATGTAAAAACAAATAAAAAAAACTGAACGAACGAAGGAAGAAAAAAAAATGAAAGAAAGTTTTGTAAGCTGAGTGAATGATGTTCCATAGACACGCTCCAATGATGAAACAGCCCTAACCTACCTATGTAGATGTATACACTGTCACATGATCTTCTTTAGACACTGCATTTTTGTGACCTTGTATGTTTATGTTTTGTATGCTTTTGTATGCCCATGTTTGTATGTGTCTTGTATATGAATGTTTTTTTTATGTGCATGTTTGTATGTTTTTGTATATACATGTTTTTATGCTTTTGTATATGCGTGTTTGTATGTTTTGTATGTGCATGTTTGTATGTTTCTGTATGTGCGGGTTTGTATGTTTTTGTATGTGCATGTTTGTATGTTTTTGTATATGCAATGCATGTTTGTATGTTTTTGTATGTACATGTTTGTATGTTTTCGTGTTTTCCGTTCGTTCATGCCAGTTAATTCATTTTTTTTATATTCATTGAGATGTTTGACGAGAGAATGTTATTTCCACTTTCAAATTTGAAATCTTCTGAGTACATGCTAAGTGCATTTGGTTTTTTACCATTTAAGCTAGCGCTGGCTTCAATACGTAATTGTTTTGCTTCTATGATTAAAAAAAAATTTTGTTTGTATGTGATTCTATGCCTATTCAAAATTAGATAGGCATTTAGATTCGGGAAAATGAAGATGCGTGATCGTTACATAGGTAGTTTATTGTTGTTGTTATTATTATTATTATTTTTATTATTATTATTATTATTACGAATCTCTCAACAACACCAAACGCAAAGTGCATGCAACAGCTACACGTGGAACAACGCATCACAAACAACGCATGTGGCAGGCGGCGATCTCTACGCCCTCGAATCTGGTCACTGCAGTAGCAATGCCAGGCACTTTACCGCTACACCATCTTGCCGCCCTGGCTGTCACATGTTTGTTTGTCTTTACAGCTGGGTCGATACTGATTGTGATGTTTCTAACTTGCGGTAACTCCAGTAGCTTATAATTTTATGAAATTGGAAAATTATTTCATGTTTTTAAAACGATTTTATATTTAAATGTTGAAATATTAAAAAAAATAAACTCCTGACATTAATTGAGATACCTGTAACGACCATCCCATCAAATTTTTTTTTAGGTCTTGAATAATTAAATAAAATTTCCAGTTTTTGAAAAATCAATGAAACGCAGACCTCCAAGAAGGAAGTTGATGTTAAAGATAGAAAAAATTACGTGTTCATGTAGTGTCGTGTATGTGGTTAACTTTTATATCTATCATGATATACGTATCATCTAAAAAGATATCAATATATTCCAAACTTGTATATCTATCTAGTAGATAGCAATATATTATCTACGTATCCACATGTTCCGAAATTACAAGAACCTATATCCTATATTTATGTATTCTGTATTGATAAATCGTCCGATTTGTATATCAAGCTGAAACCATATATTTTCAAATTTTTATATTTTTAATTGATATATCTATATCTTCGTATATCATAATCTCGTATATCCACAGTATCATATAACCTAAATTGACGTCTCTACAGATCAATAAATCCTGAAATTGTAGACCTAGAAATTTATATCAATATATATCTTTACATCGGATCTGTATACTTTGAATCTGTATATCTACAGACAAGAACGAATCCAAACTAATTTAACGGGTGACTAATTTGACCGAGGGACAACTGTGATTGTGGGCCAGAACTAAAAAATTTTTGATGGCGAGGGGACTCCATAAGCTTTCTACTATATGTAGGCTAATATATTCTACAAACCTTATATTTTCAAATTCATATATCTTGTATCCATTGATTTTTTGTGATACCATATATCTTCAAGTTCATATATCTTGTATCATTGATTTTAGTGTTACCCTATATTTTCAAGTTCATATATCTTGTATCCATTGATTTTTGTGATATCATTGATATCTTCGAGTTCATACATCTTGTGTCTTTTAACTTTTTGTGATATCTTCAAGTTCATATGTCTTGTTCTATTAATTTTTTGTGATATCTTCAAGTTCATATATCTTGTATCCATTGATTTTTTGTGATATTTCTTAACATTATTTTCCTGTGTTTTATATTTTTCTTTACAGATTTATATATCTTACATTCCGTATATTTACGAGGTTATAGGTTTTTTAAAGATTTTTTTTTCAAAGATTCTTTTCAGTAATTTTTTTATTTCTTTATGGCAAATGTTACCCCAACTTTTTTATTAACAAATGATAAAAATGATTTAAGTAACTGAGAATGTTTAACAAAAATTAGTTATCTCAATGAAAGAGTGAGTGAGTAAACGAACGAACGAACAAACTGACGAGCGAACGTATGAACGAATGAATGAACAAATGAACGAATGAGTGAATGAATAAGTTACGAAGAGAAAAAATGACAGATAGTAATAAACACATTATTAAAAGTGTATCAATTATGAATTAATTACAAAAAATTCCGCGTTTTATTTTCCTTTGGTATTGTAAGATGTTGTGAGGTAATTATTTTGAGGTTTTTTCTTTGTGTGTTTTTGATAATTTTGTCCTTGTTTAGTGTGTTGTTGTTGTTTGTGTTGAGGTTGAAGATAATTTTTTGTTATGGCTTTTGTTGTTGTGATACAGTTGTTGTTGTTGCTGCTGTTGATGTTGTTGTTGATGTTGTTGTTGTTGATGCTGTTGTTGTTGTTAATGATGTTGTTGTTGTTGTCGTTGTTGTTGATGTTGTTGTTGTTGTTGATGTTGTTGTTGATGTTATTGTTGTTGCTGAATGTTGTTGTTGTTGTTGTTATCGTTATTTTCCGACAGAGTATGCTGATGTTTCAAATTTCCCTTGTGCTTTCATCATTAGCCTTGTTCTGTTTTGTTAAAAATATCGGGCGTAGTTGTGTGTTTCGTTGTTGTTGTTGTTGTTGTTACTTTTTATCTTTGCTTTGTTGTTGCTGCTGTAATTGTTTTGTTGTTGTTGTACTTGTTGTTGTAGTTATGTTTTTTATTTATGCTATGTTGTTGTTGTTGTTGCTGCTGCTGCTGCTGTTGTTGTTGTTGTTGATTTTTAACCTAGCTATGTTGTTGCAACTGTTATTGTTGTGTTATGATTTTGTTGTTGAGCTAATGGCATTTTTTATTTATTGTGTTCTTCTTGTTGGTTTGTTTGTCGCTTCTTCATTCGAATTGTGATTTTTGTGATTTTAACGTTGTTATTTGTTGTGTGTTATTAACATAGCAATTGTTTTTTTTTTTCACACAAAATTATCCAACATTTGTAGTATTTTGACACAATTATATTTTTACATATTTTTTTTATTTTTGATGAAATTAAAAAATTATTCAAAACTTCTTGGTAGAAACTTTATCAGTATTTACAAATACAGCAAATTAAGCGCTTATAAATATTTTAAAATTAATAATATTTTGATAAGAAAATCAGCATTAACAAATAGAACAAGTTAAGTGTTGTTAAATATTTTTAAATTATTAATACTTTGATAAGAAATTGTTGGCATAAGGCTAGAAATATTTAGAATCAACACTAGATTAACACTTACAGACACGGCTTGTGTACTTTAATTCCGTTAAACTGTATTTGAATCTATGATATATTACATTTACAAAGAGAAGGATATTACAATATTATTTCTGTAGAAGTTGCTAGAATCATCACTCACCACACAGACACCAACAACACATCAACAACAACAACATCACCAACAACACATTAACAACAACAACACCATCTGCAACAACAACGACGACAACATCAACAATAACTTCCACAACATCATTACCAGCATCGACAGCATCAACAACAACATCAACAACAATAAACATACACCTCTTTAATGTTCCCTTAACGAGTACCACCATCACCAACGCCAGCAACAACAACAACAACACTAACGACATTAATAAAAGGGTCCAACAATAACAATGGCATAAAAATAGGCTTATATGCATTTCATCGGCAAGGCTGTTATGTTCTTCTCCTTCTTCCCCTTCTTCCCCTTCTTCTACCTCTTCTTCCTCTTCTTATCATATCAACATCATATCTTAATCATCATAAATATTGGGTTAACATTCGTTTGTGATGTGAATGTTGGTTGGTTGGTGGTTGTTGCTGCTGCTGTTGATGATGTTGTTGCTGCTGTTGATGTTGTTGCTGCTGCTGTTGATGTTGTTGTTGCTGCTGTTGATGTTGTTGTTGCTGCTGCTTGTGATATCAGTAGTATTATTACAAAATGTTTTTTTTCATGAATTCTAATTCACTTAATTATTTTTGAGTTTTTTTTATTTCTGAACCTAATTTTCAGTTAGGCTTCAGCCAATAGTAAAAATTTAATATGGTTAATGTGAAGCTATATGTTATTTTATGTTTTGCAACTTCGCGATGATGATAGCGAGGACGACGACGAAGACAGCCTAACATTTTCATGCTGTTTGCCTCGATAGCTCAGACAGTAGAAGTGTCGTGTCTAGCGCTTTTCTTAACGAGCAAAGACCCTAGTTCAATTACTATCTGTAGAAACTCGAAAACCTCTTTTAACAAGTAACAACATTCACGTCTCGTCAAAAAATGTAATGTAGTGTTTTTGATGTAATGTAATGTTTTTGAAAAACTAATGTAACCATGATAATTACCTGAACAAATTTTATTCTGAAGCAAAGTTGTTTTCTCTGAAATTCTCTATGTAGAGAAAATGTTTTTGTGGTTTTAGTGACGAAATTGTTGTCGTCGTCACTGTTAACAATAATGACGTCATTTTTGCATTTATGCTAATTAATTGTTTTTTATTGTTGTTATTGTTGTTGTAATTGTTGTTGTTATAGTTGTTATTATTGTTGTTGTTGTTGTTATTGTTGTTGTTGTTATTGTTGTTGTTGTTATTGTTGTTGTTGTTGTTGTTATTGTTGTTGTTGTTGTTATAATATATTCGACTCATG